TCACGTCAAGGGCATATTCACCATCGTCGAAATTGCAATGTTCGGCACCCAAGTGAAAGTGCGTGTTCACGTGGATCAAGTTGGGGAACTCGTCTTCAATACCTGAGAGCAGGGAGCACATCATCACTGAAGCTCTCAAACACTTTCTCTTCTTATTGCACTAGTCGCATGGCATTTCCAGCATGCAATGCGGACACCTCCATCCCCTCCCACCAGTACGCTACATGGAAGCTCCGATGGCAATCAACATAAAGGCAACTGCTCGTGATTCATCAAGGAACCCACCGGCTTCACGCGAGGAGGCTCCAACCCGACGAAAGATGCTGTGAGATTGCGTGGTGATTGCGGTTCTGCATCAACGCAAGGAAACATCTGTGAAGGAGGAGGCGCTTCGGTGGTGGTGGTGGTTGTGGTGGGGTAAGGATGGTAAGGATGGTAAGGATGATAATAGGGAGGATGATCAGAATTGTCAAGGATCCTGCTCCACACCCACCATGGAATCCCGTCTTGGTCCATTGCCTCCTTCTGCTTTCCTCGGCTTGCAAACACGTTGAACACCAAGCCTCTTCAGCACTTTTGATACTAGGGGCATACCGCAGTGCCTGACAAAAGATCGTTAAACAAATCCTGCACACTTTTTCACAGTGCAAATGACGTGACATCGCCATTGATCCGAGCATCTGTCCAGCTGCAACAGCGAGGAGTCCTCACACGTCTCTCCCTGAAAAGCCTTCTCTGCGAGCACGGAAATGAGGCACAGGGCGCCAAGGACTTTCGCCATGGCAATTTCTGATGGTCCGAATAGTGTTGCTGGGCGAAGCTTCGAGACACCAAACTGATACGGAAATGCAACCTTCATGAATAGGCATGGACCTGTGTAGATCTGAGAGGTAGTGCTAGTGAGACGTGCGCAGTGGGAAGTTCTACAAGAGAAAATGAAGTCCCAGAAAATAATGGTGACTACAAAGCTGTTTTTAGGGTGTACGTTTTAGGGTTTAAGATTTAGGTTTGGGTTTAAGGTCAGTACTATTGTAGTGAAGTTAATGAAGGGTTTGGGGTTCAGGCTATCGGGTGCGCGCATCCATGTAAGGGTATATAGGATAGTGGAAATGAAAGTGCAGGGAGCCATAATGGAAAATCAGATGAACAAATCAACGATGTACGGAAATATGTATACATATACATATATGTATATATATATATAGGCATTGCTATACATCCATGTATGGTGGGACTCGACACCGAGCCAGTTCTCGCATATGTATGCAGGTCTCGCCACAAGCAAGACACAAGCGCAAACTATACACTCCAGCAGGCATTTTGCACAAGCAGCCCGCTGCTTTCGATCCTAGTTCTGAGGGAGTCACCTCATCCTCCCTGAGTGCCTGAAGAGACACGTATGGTCCCCCAGCCCTGGCAACCATCTCAATACTGTATTTTAATAGTCTGTATCGAAAATTGTGCGTGCACCTGCACCGATCACGTCATGGCGTCATTTGTTCTGCATATTGCTTTGCAACAAAAAGTGTGCCGGATCGTGCGTTTAGTTCTTGGGGCTTGAGATTTAGTGCGAAATGTTGCACAACTGAGGCTCCCCAGACCGACAGGACCCGAGGGAATCTGCCTGCCACAGCCGGCTCTGAACAACGTCGTTTTTCATGCTGGGTGTTTTGTCATGAGATCCACAGAAGAAAGCCCAACATGCAGATAAACCCGGCGCTGCTACCATAGCGCCTGTCCAGCCGTTCCTAGACCTCCCAAGTACAACTGCCACGGCCTTTAGCCACAAACTCGTTGATATGTATACCAAAATCACAAGTATTTGTATTTTAACCACCATCCCAACCCAAGGACCTCACAACTCACAACCCTCCCGCGCACCCTAAACGCTAAGCCTTAAACCCTGAACCTGAAACCGTAAACTCAAACTCTGATCCCTAAACCCTAAACCTGGAACCCTAAAGCTTAAAGCTGCAACCCTGAAGCAACGGCCCTAAAATTGACCGAACAACTCAGACCCAAAACCCCCATCCCACAGCCCTTCGCCCCCCGGGTGCCGTTCTTGGTGAGGAAGAAGTTTCCTGGTTTCAGGTCCCGGTGAAGGATATGCCTCTCACAGAAATGAAGGGATTTGCAAGAGGGCGTGGGCGTTAGGGAAGGGTGAGGCTTTAAGGTTTGGGGTGTAGCGTGGGGGGAGGGAGGGGGGGGGGGGCGCAAAATGGGGGCCCTTAGGAATCCTGGTAATACAACAAGCATGCTCTTCTATACAGGTGACTTTGCGAGCCTCCCAAACTAGGCTTTTCAGCGATGAAATTTGGGTTGAGCTGCGACTCCGCGAGGTATTCATCTTTGAAGAACTTTATGAGCCAGGCGGCATCACATGGAAATGAGCATGGACTATGACAGGGCAATTGGATTTAGGGTTCATAGGACTGGTGGGTAGGACCTAAATACATAGAATACTTTTTGGTGTACTGTATACAAAAACCATGTAAGGCTTAAAAAGGAAAACTTATCCAGGGTTCTACATTCTCTCCGAAATGCCCATGACAACGGCCTCTAACCACGAACTAAAGTTGGGCATGTCGTGTAGGCAATTCCTATGCACATTTCGGGAGTCTAGGAACCATGATCCCAAGCCTCACTACCTGGACCCCAAAAGTATGTAAAATAATAGCCTTTATGGGTTTAGGGCTATTATTTTACATACTTTTGGGGTTTAGGTAGTTTATCACGCGTTGAATATACCTTTTGGATCCGAAAGCTTACGTGCTTGCTGATGGCCTCTCGTGGATGTATTTGAGGGCAAGTGTGGCCTGTGTGAACCATCGAAGCACCTGTCAAGGCAACACTGCCACCATCTCAAACGTAATGTGCAAGCTTTCGGATTCCTTAAGGGTCCAAAGACCCAACTACTAGGGTTTTAGGGCCCAAATACCATTGATATTATAGTAGCTGGGCCCTAAAACCCTAGTATTTGGGTCCTTGGACCGTTGGAGATTTGCATGTGCGGGGAATTTGGGGGTTTCTCAAAATGGAAGCTAAGGAACGAATGGCGGGCGGGAAAAGATTCTCATTCGAGGGGCCTTCCTTGGAATCATATGCGGGGCTACTTCGTGAAGCTCCCATATGGGTGGTTGCCAAAATTAAGGTCCCTTTTTCCCTATTATAATATGCCACCTAATACTTAGGGTACCCAAAAAGGGACCATAATTTTGACAATCACCAATATGGCAGCCCATGACTTGGATGCGAGCTTTGGAACCTGGGACAGAACTCTGGTTCCTGAAAAGGGTTTTGCTAGAGCAAAACATGTACATTCCATTTTGGGTTCAGTATCACAGGCACATTTTCGGTTTTCAGGGGCCGTAGTATAGTTGAAACTGAAACCAGGTGATATCCAACAATGGCCAAGAAGTAGGCTCTTCCACGGCCTGATCCTCGGCGATGGGCTGGCGCCTCCTTGCAAGGCAGACTGATATATCCTCGATTATAATATAGTAGTCTCCATTTGCTTTTCCATTATCCCAATATAATCCCAATACTATATCGTATAAACCCTATTCTCCCAATATAATCCCAATATAGCCCCATATAATCCCAAGAAGCAACAGCCCAGCGAGCCAGGGCTTAGTGCAAACTACTCGAATAGCTGTGGGGTACCCTTCCCCATTCTATAAAAAGGTTCTAATGGGAACCTCAAACACCCTGGTAGGCATCTTCCTATTGTACTCCTACTATATTCTTGAGGTTACCTGTTTGAGGTTCGCAGTAAAGTCCCTTTACTCTACCTTGCCCTATTTAGACACCCAGCCACTGTATGGCGGAGCCTGTTGCACAACCCATGCAAACCCATGCAGGGCGCAAGTCCTCCTCGCTTGGTCAATGCGCTTTGTAAGGTCTCCTCCTGAGCTTGCCAGTGGTTCATAGAAGGGCAAGTACTACATGATTTAGGGTTCTGGGTGCTTTGTGCACTGAAGCCAAGGAAACTACTATATATTGACTATGTTAGTTCAGGGCTTAGGGCTTAGGGGGCTTGCTCAGGCTTAGCAGGGAACGGAGAAATGGAACTGGAAACGGAAGCTACACAATCATTTGGGGTTTAGGGTTTCAGCTGGTTCGCCGTGAATGGAGGAGTGGAAACGTACATGGCAACTGCTACATATGTTTTGGGGCTAAGGGTTCAGGAGGAAACGGAGAGGAATGCAGAAGAACATGGTCGCAGAGCGCCCTGAACTCTTGCGCCTAACAATGCTTGCGACATTATCCTTATATAACCCCAACACATACCCTATAATGATAGAGTAGTTTCCATTTTCTCTTCCATTATCCCTATCTAACCCCAATGTACTAGGGTCAGGACCCTCGCAGAAGTCCATCAGGAGAGCAAACCTGGCAGCAAGAACCCATCAGTTCCTGGGATACAAGGACGGGTTGTTTGAGGAGACCAATCAATCCCCCAATAGCTTCAGCACCTTCCTGGTTGCTCTTTAGGTAGCCCACCTAGAACTTCCTCCCGGCTCAGAAGAACCCCAAAAGTACCAAAGTGCTAAAGTTGCAATAGAAACGCGCAGAAGCTGCTCAAATCCCAAAGCGCGCAGTATGGGACCAGCCGGCTTCAGTGAAGCTGTCACGGTAGCGCACGATGTACCTTTGTCCAAGGCCGGTTCTAATCCCCTCCCCTTGCAAATGGGTCCTTGTTACATATCGATTGTAATTTCCTTATACTAAACCTCAGGAATAACAAAGCACAGTTTTTCGGGAATATCTCAGATTCCCCATGTTTTTCATTCCCTACCACCCCCTAAACCCAGCCGCCCAAACCTTAAACCCTAAATACTGTAGCAGCTTCCATTCTCTTGCCCCCTCACAAAATGCCGCAAACGTTAGACTCACAGGCCCCCGCGGATGCTTCAGCGCGGCGAGGCAAGTGCCCTTCACTGATGGGAGGCTGTGGCCAGTGGAGAGAGCCCGATATGTCCTAAATTGGGGAAACTATATGCATGAATTATCTTATTAATTCAGAAGGGCATTCCGAAAAACGGAGTTGCTCTTTGGGAGTCGGGGATGTGTCAGGGGACACTTTTTTAAAGCTCTCTGATTGGCTTAGCGGTTTAGCAATCATGGCATCAATTACTCTAGTTCACTTTCAGAATATCGTCGGTGTATTTCTGGCGTTCTGAGCGCAGGATGTAGGCTTCGTTGTCAGTCTTTTGGCGATGGGAGCTGCCTAGACTTGCAGCTGCATGTAGCATCGGCTGAGGACGTGAAAGGGTTAAAATTGGAGGGTCAAAGCTGCAGGCATGGGGTGCAAAGGTCATTCATTTGTTGGCTTCTATAGAGCTTAGGATTTCAGAGTTAGGGTGCAAAGGGTTCGGCTTGGGATGGATGCCTCTACAAGGCACATGCTCAGACATTTGTGGCCTCCGTCATGTTCAACCAAAACTTCTGGAACTGTCCAGCATCGAATGATCGAGTCCAGTCTTATGGATTCTCTAGCTCATATATATATATATACATATATGTATATATGCTGCAGTCGTTGTGGAGATGCTTGAGTTGAACATTGAGGGTGGATGCACAACAGGAAACTGGTTCGCGCCTGCTTTTTGCTTACTGTAGACACTCCAACCTCCTACAGTTTGAATGAAGCATGCAGCCTCCAACCTGGGCAATCCTAGTACTCGTTGGGGCCGAAAGAACTAGTCAAGCTTTCCGGCCTCAGGGATTCATACCAGTACGCGGTGCGCTGCGAGCATGCAGACTTTAGAGCATCGGCCA